TCCGGTGGTGCCGGGGTCGTGGGCTGCGGGGACAGAGGCTGCGGGGACAGTGGCTGCGGGGACAGAGGCTGCGGGGACAGTGGCTGCAGGGACAGGGGCTGCGGGGACAGTGCGTGGAGCTTGGGTGTTCCTGAGAGTTCCGTTTCCGGCTGGGCACCTACCACAGGAAATCAGAGGGCATCTGTCTTGAGGAAAACGAAAGAGGAACAGAGATTCCAACTACGTGGCTGCTACAACGTGGAGGGGGAGCCTCTGCGGCCGTACTAGGGAGTCTATGACATGGTGACATGGGAGCTGAGACACTGGCAGAGACCTGCTGGACCAGAGCATCCCGGCAGAGGGACCTCAGGCACCCGGCCTGCCCCGCGGTGCACAGTACCCAGCGTGGCCAGTGCACCGGGTGACTTCAGGGAAAGGACAGGAGCCCAGGGTGACCCGCAGCGGCCACAGCACCGAGGGGCCTGCGAGTTTGCCAAGGGGACTGGCTTCGGTGGCCGCGGGCTGGTGCGTGGCAGAAGGGGGACAAGGGCAGAGCCGTTGTCATCCCAGCCTCAGAGCTGCCAGGGGAGGCTGGCCTGAGAGGCCAGAGGGACCCCTTTGGGAGATAAGCCCCTTCGGCTTGCTAATGAGGTGGGTGGGGGTGAGAAACGGGAGGCTCCTGGGAGACTTCAGACGCTTGAGAGACCAGTCCAGGCCGCTCTCCGTGGAGGTGCCAAGGGAGAGGGCAGGGAGACGGCCTCCACAGGAGAGCCAAGCTTCATCTGGGAAACACACCGGATGCTTCTCAGACCAGAAGGGACAGAGGGCCAGGCTGGGGAAGTGTGGACGTCATGGGCCTTCCCTGCTTGGACACAGGTCACTGACGGAGAGCCAGGAGAATAGTGGGGCCAGGCACCCTCATGCCAGCTTCCTGGGATCAACTGCATGGCGCCCCCTGTCACCCACCAGCTGGGCCCACGGCCTGGAGGTTTGCACAGGGCTACTGACGCGGCAGGCCTGCCTGTGGTGCAGCTCCACCGGCCTCACCGTACCCAAGGCCAAGTGGGAGACCCCGCCTGCCGGCTTCCCGCTGGGTGGGGGCCACGTCCTACTTTCCTCCAGAGACGTTTACCGGGAGGGCTGTCTGCAGGGAGATTCCTCTGCGAGAACTTGCCATTTGCACGCATCGTGTTCTCGTAGATTGGGTCAAGCCTTAATATTTTAAATTAACACAGTCCACAAAACGGGCGACCTGTGAACCGCAGGCTGCAGGCCACCTGCTTCCACGCCCTGGGTCACAGTGTGGTCTGCCTCCCACCAGGCCTATGCCCATAGGGGACGAGGTCAGTGTCCTGGGATGTCGAGGCACCACGGGGCTTACTCAGCACTTGCACAACAACCAGAGGCCCAGGGCAGACGGGTGGGGAAAGGTGGCCCGGCCCTGTGTGCAGGGAGTAGCTTAGCCAGATAAAGGGTGAGCCCCAAGGACGCTGCACTAAGTGAGGGGGGTACAGACAGGCAGACCCCCTCGGCCTCACACATTCCTGAAGCTGAAGAGGAAAATCCAGCTCACGGAAGCAGAGGGAAGCGCGGCGGGCACCGCCTGTGAGTGATGTATGGCGCCTCCAGCATCTCATTGGATAATATAAGAGGTAACGGCCTATATGCAAATGAGGTGATTCCAGTACTGCTTTCTGATTGGATATGCAGCCATCAGCCAATCAAACACCAAATCACCGCCGGCTGCTTTGTGGCTGTGCTGATTGATGGTGCTGTGGGGAGCACGACAGAGCCAGTGTATCCGATGGCTGAGATCCTGGAGCTGGAGGCAACCCGCGCGGCTAAACGAGCTTCATTTCGTCACCCAGAGGATGGCTCTCCACGAGGGGGGATCTTAAG